TGGACCAATTCTGTTATGAAGCTCAAGGCCCCCTTTCTTGTTCCAGACTCTCCTTTTGATACCTTTACTCTTATATTTCCTGTAGGTTTTGTTAACCTGGGATGAGAGTTTTGAACCTTCCCCAGACTTACCCAAACCCAGCTGAGCCGTAACCCCACATATAGGCTGAAAATAATTCTCAACATTAATTGGACTTTCTGCACATTTAGAGTCACCAAGGCCTTGGGCCTGATTAAATTCATTCTCCCCATATTGGGCTTGGGATTTGCCCAACACCACCTCAAGGTTTAGACCCGCCCCATATCCAACAGAACCACTCATACTTCTAATGAAACCAGGCGAGCATAATACCTTATTGCCCTTTGCATGACCTCCACTCACACCTTGCATAGAGCCCACCAAATTGACTTCAGGACTGACATTACGTGCTCCACATGCCACCTCCAGCATACTTACTGTCTCTTCCACCACAGAAACACTCTGCCCACTGTTTATCTTTCTATCATCCACTGACTCAGAGCACTCCCCTGCTGCCACAACAGAACGCTCCTCTACTACCACAGCAGCCCTGTGATCACCCACTCCAACCTTAGCAGCCTCATCGTCCCCCTGCATCACCGGCAGGTTGCCCCGAATTGAGTCGGAAGCCTTATCAATAGCCCCCTTGTGTGAACTCTGACTGGCTCTTTCCGGTTGGAACGATCGATAGCTGCATTGCTGCACTACTACCTGGGATATAACAATCAGCTCCTCACAGATCTTGACCGGGTATAAGACTCCTCTGCAATCTAAAAAAATGGACGCATTTATAGATTCCATACAGGATGTAGCTATCCTTACCTTACCACATTGCAGGTTTTTTAACCTCAAAGTGTCATCATCTACCTCCATCACCTGCCCCCACTGCCTCCCTATACTATTGAAAGTGTTGAAGCTCCATAAATTAGGAGGCACCCCATAAAAGCTTAGCCACACACTTCTTTCTTGATCCAAGAGCATACCTTGTTGCCAAACTTTGACTGAGTCACTCCACTCCTTAATCCAACCTTCCATTCCATTAAGTTCCTGTTGCATCATCGTTACTGATTGGAAGGATAGCATAACATCTCTACCCCCACCTATTGTAAATTTAGCCTCCCCCAAACCCCTGATCAACAATTCCTTCTTAAAATCATCTACAGAGCAAGTGGTCTTCAACCTGACTACTACACTCTCATATAACCATCCATTTCCTTCTTCCAGGGCCCTGACAGTGATGGTTGGTTTGGACGTGGACCCTCCTTCTCGAAGGACCTGCGCATAAGATCTACTCCCTCTATGTGACCCTGGAACGGCAATAGATTTACCTCTCCCTTCTCTACCATCATTTGGATGTGCTGACTTATGTTTCACAACCTCCTCCTTCCCGAATTGGGCCATCTTGACCTTTAGGGCTTTATCGTCACACCACATCCCATCTGTTTTTTGAATCGCCATGGTTGCTGCCACTAAGCAATCATATCGAACAAAGCCAAACCTGGTACGAGATATTTTCCTTCTCTTGAAGGGGATGAAGACATCCCTTACAACTCCAAAACTAGAGTATAGAGAATGTAACCTCCTTGGATCCATCGAGTTAGGGATGTCATCCACAAAAATGGTATGGACAGCAGACTGAACCCTCCAGCCCTTTGAGCCTTGCCTTCCATGTCTTCGAACAACTGGTCTCCAACCTCCTAATTCTCTCTCTCTGTGTCCTTCCCTTATCCTCTCTTGATCGGTCATGGTCTCCAACTGGTCTCCCATTATAATTTTAGCAGTAGTATTCTTGTACTCATACAGTGCGGACTTAAAGTGTTGTTTCTGCAATTCTGAATTTAAGACTTTTATTATTTTTAACATGCAAAAGTTTAGAAACTGAAGAAAAATGCAGAAAGAACACGGAAGCAATGCGGAAGACTTTGTGTTGCTCACATGGTTAGCTGTTTTTTTAATATTTTATTTAAACTAAGCGTGTTTTCAGTCTTTATTTTTCTAAAAATAAATAAAAACTAATTCACAATTTTTATAAATATAAACGTTACCAAACGCTACTTAAGTAAATCAATTATAATTTATTTTTCACAATAATTATAATGTTATATTTCTCGAGTAATTTTATATGATTTTGTAGTTGACATAAATCAGAGTCATTGAGATTGATATAAATCATAATGATTGAGATAAATTTCAAATATTTTCAATTGTTAAGATTATTAATTTATTCACACTTTTTCATGATGTATAGATGATTTTTTTTTTATCAGCAAAAAAGAAAACTTTATTGATAATAGATGAAACATATATCAATAAAGGAGTTGAAACGCACAAGTATCAAAGCAAAGCAAAGCAAAGTGATCCCAACTAGGTTGACACCATTGAATAAGCCCAATCATATGCTAGAATCAAGGAGTTGGTGAGAAGTCAACCAAAGGAACCCCAAACAGGAAAACCAAACAAAACAGACCTTACAAATGACAAACCCATAAACCTAACAACGACTTAGAAACTCAAAAATGATACAAACTGATACAGGCACAAATAAAGGCAGACCTTGTTGAAGAATGATTCAAAGTCTAACTCGGTCTCTTCAGGTTGTTAGTAGTGTCTGTAATTTTCTGAGTTTGTTTAGTCAATTGGGTAGTTGATATTGTTGCTAATATTATGCTAGTGGTTGTAGTGGGTTTACATTAGTGACTTAGTGGTCCGTGTTTGGTTGTTTTGGTTGTAAGCCTATATAGGCACATTTGCTTCAGTATTTTTAATGAATTGAATTAGACGACCCAAAAGTTCAGACTTTCTATATTTCTTTGTATGCCTCTGTTTTCTTTGTTTTGCCCCTTGTTTCAATGTTATTCATTTTGATCTCCAGTAGACCCTAAAAAGACTCCACCATAACTCACTAAAGCCTGCAGCCAATGCCCCTTGCTATAGAATTTAATTTGCCAGAGGTTAAAGACAAAGTCATTCACATAAAAAGATACACTTGGGATGAGGCCCTTACCCACAAAGCCACTATCATTTTTGATTAGATCACACAGTCCCAACAGATTGGGTTGAGTGCTATGAAACACCACCTTATTCCTATGTTTCCAAATGGACCACAAGATTGCAAGTGGTATAACTTTTCAAATCTTCTGCACAAATTTATTGAAGGAAAAATTAGCCCACCAAAATAAAACATCTTCCACTGATTGGGGTATAATTCATTGAACACCCCACCACCTCATAATATTAGCTCAGACCTTCCAAATGAGAGGACACCACAACAATATAAGATTAACATACTTCGCTTCTTCATTGCAAAACACACAGGCAATATTAGCACTCCTATTAATGACACAATTCTTTGAAGATAAACTCTAGTTTGAGTTTATGCCTCCAAACCAACCATACAAAAGTTTTAACTTTTAGTGGGAAAACATTGTGCCAAATCATTTTAGCTAAAACTCCAAAATTATTTTGATGTAAAATGGAATCACACCATCTATACACATATGATGCACTAAAGCAGCCAGAATTCTCAGTCTTCCAACAAAAAGTATCTTCCTTATCACTAGCATTTGAAAGCAAAAAAACCAGATTAGACATATCATCTTCCTCCTAGTCCCTTAAATTAATACGAAAACTCTGTTCCCAGTCTGATAATCCTTTTCTGAGATCAAGCACTGCATTGACTGATTTATCCTTACGTGAGAATCTAAATAGTCTTGGAAACTATTCCTCTAGGCATCTATCACCAACCCATCTATCCTTCCAGAACAAGGACCTTACCACATTCCCAATCATAATTTGAATGTTGTCAACAAAGCACCTATGGGAATCAGGTCTTGAGATCACCACAGATAGGATATCCTTTCAAATTTTAGAATGGACTTGGGAAACCACTACAGATGCATACCAAGTATTCCCTAAATACATATTACTTTCTTCCACAACTCTTCTGTAGGAATAATTCCTTATGTGTATGGTGTGAAACACATAAACATTGCACCAAATACATTACCAAATTATATAAAAAAATATAAGTTGAAAACAACGTAAATTGTTTGGGTAAAACCAAATCAAATCATATGTAGAAAACTATAAATACTTACAAATAGATTGTATAAATGTAGAATTGATAACAAGTTGATCGAGGCTTGTTGTGGACACAATTTCTTTAAGAAAAATTCATCCCCCGCTATGGTGCTTACGAGTTTTTATTGGACGTTTATCTCCCAAGATGCAACGATCAAACTTTGCAGAAGCAGCGCTACCATGGTACGTCTTGCAAACTTTATTGTGCAAAATTCTCTTACAGAAAAGACAGAGTGTAGAAAAAAAGAAACACGAGATGAATTCTATGCAAAATGAATGCAATGGGATTCTATTTATATAGGTGAATTAGTGGATTTTCAAAAGATCATGGTGACTTTTCAATGAAAAGACATATATCTTTTCCATGTAGAGATACAAATCTTCCATGGAATCAGTGCAAAGAACATAAAAGATTGTTCTTTCAAACATATTTGAATTTTGAATCGAATCTGGTTCAATTTTGACCCAAAAATATAACAAATAAATTTAATTTGAAATTAAATAAATTTCATTTTAAAACCATACTCAAATGGTAGCCAATTTCTCATTCACTTATTGATGGTTTCTATTGTGAATCTTACAATTCTTATTAATCAAAACTGTGGCTTACACTTGTATTTATATAGTAAACAAAATATATAATCTATACAAAATATCTAATCCTAACTAACTCTCTTTAACCAGCCTAGCTCCTATTTAGTCTAACCAACTATATAACAAACTATCTAACCACCACAACTGATTCCATTGTAGTATGCCATCTTAACATTATTATTACAGGCCTGTGATGAACAAGCTATACCATGCAAAGGCTGCAGCTCATGTGTGCTGTGAGATTGTGATGGTTATCATTATGTTTCAAGTGGTTACAGGTGGTTATTGGTGTTATATAATGTGTCTCTATGAAGCTCTTATCATGGAATGTAAGGGGTTTGGGTAAATCTGTAAAGAGAAGGAGGGTCAAATTACTGCTTAAGGATAGGAAAATTGATTTTGCTTTTTTCCAAGAGACAAAGAAAAGTGAGGTTACACCAGATTTTGTAAAATCATCATGGCCTATGGATGAAATAGAATTCATGGCAGTCAACTCTGAAGGGAGAGCTGGTGGGCTTCTGTGCATTTGGAAACCAACTGTTTTCAAGCTATCACAGTATTGTAGCACAAGGCATTGCATTGTACTCTCAAGTACTCTTCTTCCAAATTTTAACTGTGTTCTTGTCAGTGTTCATGCTCCTAATGAAGTTAATGAGAGAAGTAGATTCTGGAATGTCCTGCATGGGTTGAGATCTAGCTTCTATAATCCCTGGTGTCTAGTTGGTGACATCAATGAGATACGGAATCTTGGGGAAAGAATGGAGTGTTCTAGAAAAGACAAAGGGATGAAAGAGTTTAATCTATTTATAGAAAATATGGAGCTTCTTGATTTACCCATGTTGGGAAGACAGTTCACTTGGTGCAATTCTAATGAAGGTGAAAGATGGAGTAGAATTGATAGAGTACTCATGTCAACAGAGTGGGTGGAAAAGTTGAATTTAAAGTTATGGGGTCTAGAGAGAAGTGTTTCAGATCATTGCCCCCTGCTACTGGTCGAGGATGGCAAGGATTGGGGTCCAAGGCCATTCCGGTTCATAAACGCTTGGACTTCACATCCGAAATTTGGAGAAGTTGTGAAAAAGTCCTTGGTTGATTCTGCTTTTACTGGCTGGGCAGGTTTTATTGTTATGAATAAGCTGAAGGTTCTACGTTCAGTTTTGAAAAAATGGAATGCAGAGGTCTTTGGCAATATTACTCATTCATTGAAAGTAGCGGAGGAAGAACTCCATGCAATTGATCTAGTGGCTGAATCTAGAAGTCTTATGCAGAATGAGGTTAAAAGAAGGAGAGAAGTCCGAAAGGAAGTATGGTTATTAAATAGGAGAGAAGAATGGTTATGGAGGCAGAAGTCTAGAGTTAATTGGAGTTTAAAAGGAGATAAGAATACAAGATTCTTTCATGTCATAGCTACAAGCAGGCAGAATAGAAATCTGTTGAATTCAATTGAAGTGGATGGGGAGATTCATGAGGATCCACAAAAGATCAAATTTGAGGTAGCTAAACACTTTAAAAACAGATTTTGTGAAGAGTGGAAAGTTCGACCTAAGCTCCAAGGTGTTTTCAAGACCATTGGGCATGATAATGATTCTAATGGGCTGGTTATTCCTTTTTCAGAGGAGGAGATTTGGAGAGCTATTAGAGAGAGTGATGGAAATAAGGCACCAGGACCTGACGGTTTCAATTTGTTTTGCTTTCAAAAGTGTTGGAAAGTTTTTAAAAAGGATATTGTAGACGTCCCCGAACGCCCCCGGGGAGGAACGAGTCCCCCGTTTCGTTCGATATTGGGCTCACTACAGTTCAGGACTCTAAAATTGTCACGGTTCTAAATCTGAACCAAAGAGTCCAAATCCGGCAAATCGTTTTGAGAAAACAGATTTTTTTTGAAAGAAGTGCCAAACATGGACTGCTTTGCCAGATATAGAGTCGCCACCTAAATATTTTATTTTGGAAAATTTAGGAAACCCTGACTCGTTGCCTAAGGCCACGTGTCTGTCATCACCAAAGTTGCCTCAGCTCGGGAACTTGGGTACGATTAGGGAAGGTCACTTCGTGAGCACCCCCGCTCACCCGATCAAAGATCGGCCTCTACTAACCATGATATCTATTTTTGAAAACATTATGCGTTCTTATTCCGGTTATTAGCCTAGATTACTATGTGATGCGCACAACATACAAGTATAGACTGGATCGCCTGAATTGGAACAAAACATTTCATGTTTGTTTTTGAAAATGGTTTGATGGTGCTACCAGCAAGCAGGCTAAGACGTGGATTTGCCACCCTCAGGTGGGCTTAGAAAACATGATTTTGCCACTATCTAGTGGGCTTTAAAACACACATTTGATGAATTGTTCCAATTCAAATAACCCAACCTTCACCCACAAGCATTCAGCCAGTTATATCACATAAGTATATAGCCTCATGGTAAGCATGCTATCATGACATTCACTCACACGCATGGAAGGATGATAAAGCATAAAACTTACCGAGTACTCCAAGCCAAAACAAAAGCTAATTAGAAATCCATGCATGATCCTAATTATACAGAAATGCCTAATGCAACACATGCAAAAATGCAACTATAATAGGCTCGGCTATTCTAGACATGGCATGTGAAATGCTACAGCTAACATGTATTCAACTTGAAATTGAAAATACGATGCAGTTAGTATGATGCACCGAGCCCGGTGCATGCGAAACAGATGAATGAATGCAAACATGCTATCATACTGTATGCTAATTGAAACATGCCCTAATCTAACCATTATAAGCTGGTAAATAAAAGGGAGAAAGACGTGGGGTTGGAAGACATACATCACACACACGCACACTTATTACAGTTGTTCCCTCGCGCAGAGGGTCCGAATAAATATACAGTCCCAAATAAATAATTACAATCCCGAATAAATACAAAAAATCCTAATTAATTTACAAATTAATCTAGGAAAGCTATAAACTGGCATGCAAGCCAGGGACTGCCTTGACTCTGATGAATGATGCATGTTTAGGCTGCCTTGCGCGGAAATCTACTTGGATGCCCCAATTAGCCTCTGTTTTACAATTATTCTTGGAAAGCGCGCCAAGCTCCTGTAGACACCCCATTTTTGACCGTCCTTGAGACTTGGACGTCACCGCTTGGAACACTCGGTGATTATTCATGTATGTGTTCGTTTAGAGTTCCCGGAGGTTTTGGCTCGCGCGCCCTGCCTCAAGATCTCCGAACTTGACCGTTTAGTGTCTGGTTTTACACCGAACACTTGTGTTTTGCCTTGGGAGGACAGGGAAGGCCTTGTAAGGCATCCCCACACACCACCGGCAGTGGCTAGAGGTCACCGCCTGGTCTTTTGCTTCCATCGGCACTATTTGTTGCCGGTCGGCACATTTTATTGCCGGTCGGCATATTTTGTTGCCGGTCGGCACTCTTTTTTGTCGAAATGACATTTTTGGCCGGCCAACTGCTGTGCATCTGCTTTTGCAGATATTTTATCACAGCTGTCTTGCTTTTTGCTCCCCTCCATACACGTGTGTGGAGGGATCTCCCTCTTTGGAAGCTTGTCTTGTAAGCTTTACAAGACAAAAAGCTCTATAAGAGAGAGCCTTCTCTCTTGGCCTTAGGGTTAGACACTTGAGACACTTAA